AATGGCAAAAGGATTTCGACAAACTCAAAGGACACAAATAAGATATCGAGTGGTAGCCTTGCCAATGTAGTAGATGAAACAAATATTTAAGTAGATCAAGTGTTACCTGCCTCCCCTTCCCCTCTTCAAGAAAAAAAAAAAGCGCCTGCAAAGATTACTCTTGTTTCTTAGAAAACTTGGAATTCAAGGGAACAAAACACAATTTTGTGATGAAACTTATTTTTATATTACGTCTTTACATAGCTCTAGGTATTGGTTAAATTTGTGAAGAGTTGTGAAAGGATATGCATTAATTACTGAAAAATTAATTTAAAAATTTTGAATCTGCACTGTCCCATCTGAGTGGAAGCTCCACCGAGCCATCACACAGTGCTCTGAAGCCCAAGCCCATTTGACATTGCATATGTTCACTTGTATCACTTTCTATGCAGATAAAAGAAAATATTATTTGTATTAGAGCCAATAGATGTACAGTACCCACGGATTGAAAAGCGACACCGTATTTTTTTATATAGCAACTGCTATTAGCGATGACTTGTGATAACCATGTCATGTTGCTGCAAATCAGGCTGCTAAAGGTTCACTGATGTTAGTGTGCAGAGTCTCATTTGTTCCACTGTACACAGTTTAAGATTTCAGATTATTGTGATATGCTGATGTACTATCTTTTTCCTAGAAAGGTACATAAAATATTTTGTATTTTAGAAACTATACATTATACTGGAAAAATAATTGTATGCTTGAAATTAGCACACAAACATACGTAAATGCCAGAAAATTGATTAAACCCAATCGAGAAATTAAAAATATATATTTAAGAGCGGTGTTTTCCCTGAAAAGGGCCCTTCAACATCTTATGAGAATGGTCAGAAAACGCTGCGGATCATAAGCAGAGGCGCCTGAAAACGCAAACTAAATATTATAGTGCATGCAACATGTGGCCTGGAATTCAGAATAATTCTCAAAGTCGGTGATAAATCGCTCTTTATTCTCTCGACAAACAACAAGAAAAAGCTCGAAAATCACCCGTCGCAGCCGTTTTATCAGCCAATTGCCAATTTGAACATGGCATACTCCATCGTTACAGAGGCTGCTACTTGTTCACGCGTGCACATGAAATCGCTCTCAAAAAGAGGCGTATTCGAAGGGAAAAAAAGGAAAGTAAAAAGTGCTCAAGGTCACAGGTGCGCGTGACATATTTTCTTTGCCTATGCTGTCTCTCCCTGCTTAGCTTCCAGCGCTTTTATCACGATGAGAAAAAAGAATGCGATTGTAGCGTGCGACAAATCTTTGCAACTCCACTTGTATTGGATGGATTCTAGAAATTTCTGCGGCAAATTCATGAGGCATTAAGCTCTTTTAGTCAATCCACTCCATGGCTTCTTGAAAAAGTGTTGCAGGGCCCCTTCAAAGCTTATTAGTAGAGTTTGCAGAACGTAATAATTTACGGATCTTGAATGCCTTCTTCAGAAAACAGGCTAACCGTAAGTGGACGTGGCAAAGTCCTAATGACAAAACTAAAAATGAAATAGACTTCATTCTGTGAGCACATCCAAGCATTGTGCAGGATGTAGAAGTAGTTGGCAAGATCCGATGCAGTGACCATAGAATGGAAAGAGCTCGTATTCACCTAGATTTAAAAATCAAAGAAAAACTGATACGCAAAAATCCAATGAATGAACTAGCAGTGAGAGCGAAAGTATATGAATTCAGCGTTTCGCTTCAGATATATTTGAGGCACTAAACAAAGTAACCGACGTTAACGTTGACCTAATGAATGGTAATCTTACTAGTTGTGTCATCGAAGAGTGTGCAATTAAAGGGGTGCTGACACAAAATTTCGGGGCCGAGATAGCCTGCGGGGTCGATCCTCGTGAACATTCGTATATCTGCAAGATATCAACAACGAATATAGCTTGGAAGGTATATTAAATTAATTTTGAAGTTTGCATGAGCAACTGACTCCATAGTGCTATAGACACCCTCGGAGGGGATCCCGAGGAGACCCCCTACTTCCTTCACGACACCATACTGCGGTCAGCAAAACAAGTTATGATGACGTCATAACTGCCATACTTCTATTGCCGCGATAGTTCTCGAAGTCTATATTTCTCGGCGGCTGGTTGCGAGTATGTGTTCGTTGCGCACACTTAGAAAGTTTGGTGTTTGGCGACATTCCAGTCCGGTTTTCTATTCGAAAGTAATTCTTGATGCGGGCTGTGCGGAGTGCGTCACAGTTCTGTGTGCTGACGTGGTCAAGAGCTGCACACGCTAGGTGGCGACAGTTGCACCCAGTTTTTGGAACTCTCTCAAACTGAAACTGATTGATAATGAGGGGCCTGTAATTAATTATCTGTCACTTGCTGCAGCAAACAATAAGTCGTGTCATGACTAACAGGCCCCCAGCAATGCATTGCAGCAGAAAAACACGAGGCCAAAGTTTTTGTGTCAGTACCCCTTCAAAAGTCGGAGTTACGGTCACTAGACCCTGGCAAGCTATCTCAGGAGACTAAAAATTCCAAGAGAGGACAAATCATAAAAGCCCCAAATGCAACCGACAAAATAGAGCTAGTGGAGCTTTCGAAGTTAATATTACATAAGGTAATCGACGTCAGAAGGTATAACATGGAAATAATTGAGCAGGCTGTAAAAAGTGGCAGAAGCCTAAAAGCTGCGAAGGCAAATTTGTGCATAGGCAAAAATCTGATGTATGTATTAAGGAACAACGAAGGCAATGTCATAATATGGATAGGATAGTCGAGGTAGTGAAGGGTCTACAGATACAGAAGCCAAAACAACCAGGATGATATCGTGAGAATAATTGTCTAGAGGAATTCGACATATCATTAACGACAGGGGAAGTAAGGAAAGCCCTAGAAGGTACGCAAAGAGGCAAAGCCGCTGGTGAGGATAAGGTAACGGACCTCCTGAAAGATGGCAGAAAAATTGTGTTGGAAAAACTGGCCACCTTACATACGAAGTGTCTCTCAACAAGAAGGGTGCCAGAAGAACACCAACATCTTAATCCATGAGAAAGGTGATGTCAAGGACTTGAAAAATTACAGGCCGTTACAAGTCGATCAACTTCATTCTCTACAAAGTATTTACAAAAAAATTACCATAGAATAAGGGTGATATTAAAGGTCAATCAACCAAAGGACCAAGCAGGATTTCGTACCGGCTACTCAACAATAGACCATATTCCTACTATCAATCAGGTGATAGAGACATGCGTGAAATACAATTAACCCCTATACATAACTTTGATAGATTACGAGAAGGCATTTGACTCAGTGAAGACATCAGCAGTAAGGCAGGCACTACGGAATCAGGCCATCAAAGAACCCCACATAAACATACTGGAAAAAATCTACAGTGGATCCACAGCCACCATAGTTCTCTATAAAGAAAGCAACAGAATTCCAATAAAGAAGGGAGTAAGGCAGGGAGACACAATTTCTCCAATGCTGTTTACCACTTGTTTACAGGAGGTTTTCGGGACCCTAGATTGAAAAGAGTTAGGAATAAGAGGTAATGGAGAGTACCTTAGTGATCTGCGATTCCCTGATGACATTGCCTTGATGAGTAACTCGGGGGACAAATTACAGCTCATGATTACTGAACAGGACACGAAAAGCAGAAGAGTAGGTCTGAAAATTGATATGCACAAAACTAATGTGCTGTAGTCTTGGCAGAAAACAGCACTTTGGGATAGGTAGAGAGGCACTGCAAGTTTTAAAGAAATATGTCTACTTGGGACATATAGTAACTCAGAAGTCAAACAATGAGAGTATACTGACATGATTTTGAGATATTGCAAAAAGGCCATTTTTCATTTCTGTGGTATGCAGTGTTAACACTCTCCCCACATCGGACACAGCTAACACGTACAAAATGTTTTCTTTGATTTTAAAGTTTTCGTGACTAAGCATCGGCAGGCCAGCCCCACTGCAATGGACATTATCTCGACAAGTCAACGCAGTTCTAGAGCTGGCGAACTATGCGTCCTGCATGCAAAAGGACGCATTGTTCAGTTCAGTGTACAGTTATGTAATATGCAGATGTGTAGTGCATGTATTTTTTTCTTCTATTTTTGTATTGTCAGTAATGTTCATGCAACCTACATACTAATGCATTCCCATCCTTTATGTAATACCCTACCAAGGAGTCTTTAAGGTAATAATGTGAAAAGTGAAGTGAAACAGCCTAAATCACAAAATCGCTGTTGGGTCTGGACACAATGTCCTCCTCATTTACTACTACATAAGCAGATAATTAATTGGGTCTAATGCCCCAGAACCTTGTTAGTATTGAGACGCCATAGTGGAGGGCTTCGAGAATTGCGACTGCCTGGGGTTCTATAACATGCACTTAAGTCTAAGTACACGGGCTTCGATTTCTGCCTTCATTGACAATGCAGCCGCCGCAACCGTGATTCGATCCCACGGACCACAAGCATATGACAGATCTGCCGCTAGTATGCGGAAATTGCAGTCTCCCATGACTTCACCCTGCTATGACAAGTTCTGGAGAAGCTACCACCTCAATGTTGAAACCGAAAGTATTTTTTAAGGCAGTGATATTAAGAATATATGTGATGCATTCCACGGCACCACAATACTCTCTTAGGGGTTCTCGACACCCATGTTCTTTATAGCGCAACAATTCGAAAACATTAAAATTTGTGTCAGTACTCCTTTAAGAAGAAAAACATTCTAGGAAGGCAACTAGCATTTCATGTTTCAGTGTCTATAATAACTAATTTTCTAGCACCAGAGATAAAGGTGGTAAGGGAAAAAAGGAGCACAGGGAGGATGAAGTGTGTATGTAGGAACGATGCTTAATAGACATGTAAAAGTTAATGCACATTTTCCCAGAATTCAGTTTCATGTATCAGCGATGCTGTGTAGCCTTGCAGAACAGCACTGAAAACTAATGGGCAGATATACCGTACCCCAAATAATACAAGCAAAGCAGTCTAGAACACGGGAAAGCAAGAGTTTCACAAGCAAGCATCTTTATTCAAATAGTCCACTCATAAACCTTGAATCAGTTCCTTAGCTGAAGTGATTCTTGCAGGAAGGCATCTGTGTTGGGAATTTCACCCATAAGACCTGGAAAAAAAAAAACAACATGAAAAATGGCAGTTTGCTAAAACACATCACAAGAATTAGCTCAATAGCCAAATTTAGATAAAGCGGGTTATGGTTAAAGCCTGGACACCACAGTTGTCTTCGTTTAGTACACGCACCAGATTTAAATAACGCTAAAGCTGTTCACTTTCACGGCTAAAAATGTAACAATGCCAATAAATACCAAATTCTAACATAGCTAAGGCAGCCGCTAGAAGCTAACAAGACAAAGTGAAAAATTATCAGCCTAATGCTTCTTTCTATACATACAGACAGCTTTTTGTTAGCCTTGCTCACTGCTTTCCCCACCCTCGCAGTTTCAGTAAGCACACTGTATTACTCTGACAACCACTGACCCACACAACTCATTCCATGCCACCTACATCATAACTTCCACCAGGGATACTAAGGGGGGGGGGGGGGGATAACATAACATATTACATAAGGGGTTATGTAATACCCCGTCAGGGGCCCTTAAGGGAAAATAAATGATGATAAAAATGCTTTGCAATCGTGAGAGAAAGGTATTTTGCAGCAAAATTGCTCTTCATTACACGTTTGTACTATTGCTATTCTACTGTATTGCCTTTACCATTGCCAAACTTATTCATTCCGTGGAAATTTTGTCATCTACAACCGTGGAAAAAAAAGAGAGGGGGGAAAAGAGAGAGCAGGGACAGTATGGTGTCCTAAAATATTTTTTACAAACAATGCTACATATCTGCAGCATAGAAGGCTCTGCGCGGTTCAATGGTAGAAAAGCCATGAAATGAGATGTGGTGCTAGTTCATGACATATGTATATGTATATAGTACTTTGTTAAAAAAGAGACAGTCTTGTATATGCACAGTAGTTCTGAAAAATGTCCATTATGTGTCAAGGAAAACAGTTTCTTTGAGAGTTCGAATGAAGCAGCTGTGCAAAGATGTGCCCTTGTGCATGACTTGTGCTAGTGATCATGCAGATGCACTACCATACTTATTCCTTTGCTACAATGTGAGTAGAGCCAGCATAATGCGACATTCAACTAATGCCTTGACAAAGAACATAAGGTGATGACCAATACTGGGTATTCTATGAATACAAAGGGCAACACATACACATCTAGTTAGGCAGATGATTTAGCTTGAAGGGGCCCTGCAACATTTTTCTGTCATATCTCCTATCAGAATGAAAGTCCAACAAAAAATGGCTGCCAGTGGTCTCTTTAGTATGTCAACCTTTTGCAGGCCATTTGCCTGAGGGCCCCGACAATGCAACATGGGTGTAGTGTACCACTGTAGGGCACTGCCCAGCAAACTTTGTGTGGTTTAATTGTGAACTTTCTCAAGGGTGTCGTATGCAACACCCTTTCTCAAGGGTGTTGTATGTTGTATCTCCCCATGCAAGAAGTTCCACATCTTGAGGAATAAAAAAGTTTAACTTCTTTCACTTGGTGTTTCCTTTTTCTTTCACTATGTTGCAGCACTTGTTTCAGCTTAAAGCCTTGGGACATTTGAGCACTCACAGTGGCACACTTTTTGCTCAATGTAAGGCCACTTTCACAGAGAGTGCTTTTTATGGGATAATTCTGAAGCTATAATAGTATAAATAATGACAATTGCAGCAATGAAGGAAATTGCAGTTCAAGTGAAGCCAGCCACAAGAAGAAGACATTGCAGACGGCACCTCTGGTGCTACATAAGGCAACGATGATATGAGAATATGTGCTCTTAGTTTGAGAGCCTAGATGAACAATTCCCAGATTTTGCCCCTTTCAGCTGCAGATGAAACAGGCAAGGCAGAGATAAAAAAGCAGCGACACCTGCGGTATCGTGCTACCTGATCAAGCAGCTGGTAGGTGATGCGAGGGTTCGCGCTAAGAAACAGGGTCTACCGGCATGTTTGACAGTGAAGAAACGCTCGACACAAAGCTTCGTTATACCACAAGCTTACAAGCGAACGCAACAAGGACAGAACATTTGCAATGACTCCAATACCAAAAAGAGAAAGGAAAAAAAGGAAAAAAAAACAGCTCTCTGTGCTTTACTCAATAGCAATGAGACTTTGGCATAAGAACGACAGCAAAAGTAGTATCATGTCTTCTTGCAAGTTTTTTTTTTCCTGCTGCGCTTAACAGTGGCAAAATAGTTTCAATGCGGGGAGGCCAAAAAGTGGGCAGAAGTTTCAGACTGCCAAGAGTTTATAGAATTAAGGAGTAAATGTATCACCTAACGGGCACTGCATCTGTTTAAACCAGCATAGCACCTGTTCATGCAACTCAATGAGGTGAATCCCTTAAAGACTGGGTATCCAAGTATATCCTGATGGACAACTTTTACCTGCTTAGAGCTGTATGTTGTGTGGTTCAAAAAACTTCCCACAACACTGTACCTTCACAGACAATGTGCAATGTGCTAAACCAATATAGAGCGTACTGTGTTGCCAAGAAATGTGTATTGCGCTCACCCATGACATCACAATATTCCATGAATGACTGGCATGCCAGCACTTCTTCTTCAAAAAATCTTAGCAGCTTGTCCCCAAGTTCTAGGTGCTGTTGATCATTATGGCGGATATAATCTGCCAATGCCACTGACCAGCCATCGTCGCTGCTGCAGGAAACCCTCTGGAAATGTGAATAAATCACGTAAATAGTCAAATTAAACAAAGGCTTCTGTAATAACTTAAGCAACTACACTGTTATTTAGAGCAATTTTCGCTACAGCAGCAGCCGCATCAGCCAACAAGAGCTGAGTGAGTATGCAGTAAAATCTTATTTATATACCTGCCATGAACCTTACATGTCCATCGCAAAAATTCTGATAGAGGTCTGAATCATCTGATACAGTTTCCTATAAGTTGTACCAGTCTTGTACCAGACTGATACAAAGTCTTACCAGTTCTTATAGACATTCATATCTGTGCTACCAGTCTCATATCAGACTGATACACAGTCTTACCAGTGCTACCAGCTTTTGAATAAGCTTGATTGGTCATTTCTATGGTATTTATTAGTCTTTAGGTTTTTATTCTTTTGTTCATTTATCGGATCTTCAAGATGCATTACTGTCATTTTAACGGTACTTCTTTTTTTGAACACACTGCCCACATATATGTCATTGGTCATTTCTGCATGTATATTAGTGTATCAGTGTTTTCTATTGAACCTTGACGACCATTGTGTGAAATATTATGATGACTCAAAGAGTGCAACTGGCAGCTTTTGGATGCGTAGAATAAAATGTACAATGTTTCATGGTGGTGCATAATTGACAAACTGAGCTTTAAATATGCAAAGCAGCTTTCAGCCTAGATGAACGCTTTATTCTGTGTACAAATGGGATTGGAGGTGCCAGATAGCACCAGTTAATGCTGACAATGATAGATGACGTCTAGAAATTTCAAGATACTAGTATCCAAGCTTATCAGATGACAGTATAACATAACTTGAAACAATACAAACAAAACTTCTCATCACAGAGCAATATTAACATAATTTCTAAATTTTAAGTTATAGGGCCAGTAAACATTCCAAGAGAGATAACTTATAATCAGTCCACTACTGTGGAATGAGCTTGCTGATACAATAATTTTTCCAAACGGCGTGTATTCGAAAGCCTCGGGTGGTGCTGCAGTTTCTCCGTTTCACAACACAAGCCAATCCCAGCTGTCTCTCCCACATAGTGCTTTGCCTTTAATGATGAACCACTACATTAGTGTCATATTCCATAATGAATGAGATAATTTAAATAAACAATGAAATGCTTTTTTGAGTAATCATTAATTGACTCATCATCAAAATTTAATGCCTCGCAAATCCACTGCCAGAATATTTCAAAGCAAGTTGAGGGGTTTATTGCGCACTTCAACCGCTTTCTTTTTTTTCTCGTCGGTCCCAACAAGCTGTGCCGAAAACTACAGGGAGGAATGGCAGTAAAGAAGTGCGATATGTAAGCACAATTATGAGCTAGAGCATGCTTGAAGAAACACAGTAGCTTTTTCGTGTTGCCATTCCCATGTGCGAGTGTGACTATGCAATGTTAGAATATTTGGACAGCAGTGCCAGCATGTGGCAGCACACTGTGGCAAGAAGCACATTCGATTAAAATGCTGCTCTTGATTTATTTGGCTATAGGCCAATAGTATGCTTCAGTTGTTTACACCACATACAGGCATCCGAAAATTCGAAGTGAGCACAGTCATGTATATGAAAAAAGTCACTTGCAGCTGCAAGATTTGACTGATATGTTGATAGCAAATCTGTTATTCACAGGTGTGTCTTTTCACAAGCCCAAGCGGTGGCACAGACCTGCTATATTACTTGCCTGTAATCGTCACAAGATTGATAAATAAAAAACCATGTACTAATTAAGGCTAAAGCATTTGACTGCAAACACACACACACACATGTACGTGCGCACGCACGCACGCACACACACACACACACACACACACACGCGCACACAACACACACACACACAAGAAACTGCCTACCATGAGAAAGTTCAGTTGTGAAGAGAACAACAATAGAAAGGATCGAGCCAACATTTAGTTATCCTACCTTGCTAAACTCATATTAGACTGGCTATATATGTCACAAGTTTTAAACAAGTTTGGTACATCAGCAACATAGCAACACATCCAACTTTCATGTGCAACACACTGGCCACATCCTTCAAGCACAACTTTTTTCTCTGTTTCTGAGCAAATACCAATGTGAGATGGGTTCTTGAATAGTTTTGATGTAAGCCTCACACACATGAGCACACACCAAACCTGGCAGTTTATTGACATGCACCAGTGTAAAATACATGTCATTGTTGCATTTAAAAGAGTCGCTCATGCCAACATTGTCGCGAGCCGCATCTGCAGTCCGGTCGGAATCGCTGAGCGAGTTTTCCTCGAAGCCGTAAGTGTCGTCGGGATCAGGATTTTCATTGCTGTCACCATGCGCATCCCTCAGACTTCACGTATCGAAGGCCGCTACTCCAGAACATCAATTACTAGCTAAAGACTGAGGAATGCTCTTGCTGACTGTAGCTGGTTGGCCGACTGCGCCTCCACCGCTCTTGTCCGAGGTACTACATATTGCGATCTAGGCTCCAATAGCGTTTTTTTTCTTCTTTTTGATCGAGGCTGGGGTTGAGTTGAATCCATCTCTCGTCGAACTTGACACAAACTTCAAGTAGCGCGCTTGATGGTGTCCACGCAAAGTGAGGCTGCGGGACTGATAATAAGGAACGCGTAAAGATCGATTACATCGACCAAGGATTCACATTCACACCTGCTTGCTGTGCCTTGAATGTTAAGCACGCGGCGCGGATTTTGTCGTAAACTATAACATGTGCCATGAGATCACGGCGCGAGGTAGTGACTCTACAGAACACCTCGCGTGGTGAAGGTGTATTGTACTGTGGTCGCCACGGAGGAAGGTGGTCGTCGCCATGGTGGTGGTCGCTGACCACGGTGTGCGCTGGCTGCCATTAGGCTAGATGATTGTAGCCATATTAATGTGATAGATAAATGGATAAATGGATTGATGGGCTGTACCCTTTAAATTGGGCGGCGGCTAACGCCAACTAGCCTCTAAGGTTGTAAAAACATGAAGTAAATGTTTTGCAAATATATTTTTGTTTTCAAAAACTAAATTGCGTTGTGTTGAGGAAAAAGTCGTGGACTCCTGGTTGCATAAACTACTTGGGAGATCCAGAAATAACACTGCCATCGTCATCAATAGCAAGTTCGTGGCGGCCTTGGTGCGTGTGTAGTGCATGTGAACATTGTTGCGTCTCTTAATTGCTTAGTATCGCGCCTGTACACTCGCCATTCTCCAAGATGTTTGGTTTTGCGATGATAATTAAAAATTAATAGTCCCGGTAAGTGCATGTAAGTACATCAATCCGAAGGATACAGGCAATTTTGATCCTCACAAGTGGTACCGGGTGTTCTGGAAGGATAACACACTGCGGCCACTATCACGCTCAAGTGATTAAGCTTTACGGTAAGTCCGTGCCTCTTGTATTCCCAATACGAAAACAAAGAGGAAGAAGCAGTCGTTCTGAAGTTATTTACTGGTCATATTTTCTTAGGAACCGAGGATGATGCAGGAATGCAACAGAAAAAGACCATCCATTCCGCAGACCCGATTGCGACTCCTCCGATAGCTGCAGTTCATGATGATGTTTGATGTTTTATGGCGCAAGGGCCATTTCACGGCCAAAGAGCGCCAGTTCATCTTACTAAAAACATGGACAATGATTGTGATAAGCGGCTGTATAAGGGCCATAAAATTCCTCGCGGTAAGGCGGGTAAAAACATACAAGTAATAAAATCATGACCATGTCGTGAAAGGTGTGTGTGGTGTGAATAGATGACAAAAGTTGGTGATAATAAAAGACGATGGTGGATATGTATGGCATTAGCACAAGTGCCTCACTCGTTCATACCCTTGCGTCCAAGGGCCGTGAGGCAAGTGCTTTCTTGTGTAACCACCGCAGCAAAAACCTCTCTGGAGAGGTCATGCTACGGGATGCCCGGGTATATGATATGAAAACTATGAATTTCTTTAAAAAACGCTAACAATGATTTGTGACTAAAAAGCGGTTCCCTACCGACGAACATTGCAGGGTGTAAAGGTATATGTTGTCGGTAGGGTAATGGAAAGTGTTGTTTTCTTACAGTGTCCAATTGTTTGCACTCAAAATGTGAAGGACTGTCAATACTTCACCACATCTGTCACACAATGGTGGATCGCCACCGGACAAAAGGTGTGTGTGTCGTGTATGTGTGTCCTATCCTGAGTCTCGTTAGTATTACCTCTGTATGACGCGATTTCGATACGGGCAGCCAATGACCAAGGTGTGGCTTAATAACGTGTAGTTTGTTTGTGTGCGTGTATCCCACTTGCTCTGCCAGTATACTCTTAGGTTTCGTTTGAGAGACGGCTTAAGATCAAGGGCCGGGATTGATATGGGTGTAGGGGCAGTGCTTTTGTGGACGGATGCAGCGAGCTGATCCGCCCTCACGTTGCCTTGAATCTCACGGTGCCCTGGCACCCAGCACACTACAACATGTTTGAGTGTGTGAGTGTGCATAAAATGGAGTAAAGTGAGACAAGGACTGGGTTTTTGTGTTTTTTAAGAGTGTGCAGAGCCGTTACTACACTGAGGGTCTGTATAAATTACTGCTTTTTGTATTTGTAATTGCTTGATGTGTTTAGCCGCCACAAGTATCGCATAGGCTTCCGCTGTGAAGATACTTGTGCCTGGATGTAGAGGGCCAGCATCCGAAAAGGATGGGCCGACAGCAGCGTAGGACACAGAGGAGTTAGACTTGGAGGCATCTGTAAAGAACTCAGGACGTGTGTATTTGTGTTGAAGTTCCAGGAAGTATGTTCGGATATGGGCAATAGGCGCATGTTTTGTAACTTCTAGAAAAGACACATCGCAGTCTATAGTCTGCCATTGCCACGGTGGCGGGTATGCTACAGGAGCCATTAAACTGTGTTCTAGTGAGACTCCAGTTTCCTCAGCTAGACTCTTCAGGCGAATTGAGAAGGGCTGCCTCATCGAAGGCCTGTTTTGAAACAAAATTGAGCTCGACAAATCATTAATAGTAGAGTATGAGGGGTGCTTCTTGTCTGCTTTCACCTTAA